TATCTGCAGATGGACATCTCCTTTCGCCTTTGTATATAGTATTAAAAGAATCTACTGGTGTTTTTGGACCACAAGTAGAACAAACTCTTTTTAGACCAGTGAATATTTACATTGCGGCTTCAAAATCAGGGAAATTGACAACTGAACATTTCAAAAATTGGTTCCAAGAAGTGTATCTACCAAACACTGGAGAGAAAAGTATACTACTGCTTGATTCATGGACAGGACATTGCCCGAACCAATTGGAAGAACTTGTACCAAAAGACAAACATGTAAATATTCTAACAATACCAAAAGAAACAACTGCTTTTATACAGCCATTAGATGTTTTTGGTTTCAGAATCTGGAAAAATTTTGTTCGAAGCTTTTCTGATAGTGTTATTATAAATAATTATGACATAAATTTACATTTACGTAATAACATAATAAAATTGCAATCTTTAACACACAATCAACTGTCTTCTCCAAGATTTCGAAATTTATTTAGATATAGCTGGTATAAAAGTGGTTATTTATCAACACGGCCTGAAAAATTTTATAATCCAATCGATTATTGTTATTTTAAAGAAGAAAAACGTATACCAAAATGTAGCATTTGTGGTAAAATGGCTTTTATACGTTGTGCATGGTGCAAGCAATATTTTTGTTTTGAACATTTCTTTGAGCAATATCATTATTGTAATAATTATATAGAATAAATAATATTTTACTGTCCTCAATTCCTGTAAAATTTGTATATATTATAATCCATACCAAAATATAAGATATCTTTCACTCGAATATCTATATCGACTACTTAATTAATAAAACCTATATACTGAATGAAGCAAAACACATACACACAAATGTACACTGAATAAATTTATAAATTATATTTTTCATTATTAAATCCGTGTGTGTTCTCCTTTTTTCTTCATATCATTCATTTCCTTATTTGTTCTTTACAATTGAATTTAAAAGATTATCTATATTAGGGTTATATACACTCTCTCTGCGTCCTCCTTATCATGCTGTTCTTCTTCAACTTACTTCTTAACATCAACTTTATTCTTTTCTTAGATTACCTGTTTTTATTCCTTCCTTACCTTTTACAGTCAGTAATTATGAGGGAGAAAGAAATGCCATTGTCAAGCAGCGAACCCATAAGTTTGGTACGCGTAGCATATATATAAGAGCATTTTTAATTTTTTTTTCAATATTGCCTTTTCCAAACATAATGTTATTATATATGGTTGAATTTGTCATAAAATAAGTTTTATTTTGGTTGGACAATTGATTTTAACAATTTGAAAAAAGAGAAGGAGGGGGGGTATTTTATACACAATTTTACATTTTTTAAAAATCTAAATATAGCATAATAAAGTACTTTTAAAACCATAAAACTTTTGTCTAAAACATTTTTTCATATCTTTAATAGTTTCGATAATATTCGCTTAGAAAGACAAAAATCAACTTTGTTCAAGGGGTTGTTTCCACCCTTAAAACCGTTTTTGGGCACCAACGAAAAATTGTTTTGTTATTAGGTATATCTGCTCTACAATTATGCAGAGTTTCAGATTTTTTTGAATTTCCGCGTTGCCGAATGTCCCTTGTAAGTCATTCAGGAGAAAGGCTACCAGACTCGCGAAATTATAAACTTCCATCAATCAAGCTTCAACAAAGAAATACACAGCTTCCGGACTCTCACCCATAAAAGAGAGAAACAAGTTTATGTTACCGTAGGCTTCAAAAATGCCATAACTCACTCTTATATGATCATGCCGTTCATCGATGCTGCAGATGGACTTTCACCAATCCTCTACTTGAAAATTCAAGAAACTACTGGTAAGTTTCCGATAGCTCGCCCTCCTGTCATTCCAGATAACATCAAAGCATATCCTGGAACATCAGCCATGATGAACACCAATGACTTGAAGATTTTCACGGAATGGCTCGTCGAAAACCTCATTTTTCGCGACTATGCAAAGGCGTTATTTCTAGCCAACAGCTGGAGTTCGAACAAGAACGAGGAAGTATGAAACAAACTCGTGAGGAAATACAAAGATCAAATCCAACTTGAGAAGATGATAATTCCGGCTGGAACGACTGGTAAGATTCAGCTCTGTGACGTTTTCTTCTTTCGTCAATGGAAGCAATTCACGCGCCACATCTCGGATTCTCTTGAAATTACCAATAAGATTTGGCAACGCGATAACATCTTTGCTCTGCAAGCAGTCATACATTTCCAATTTCATGGCACCCATCTTCTGCGACATGATCAAATATATCTTTCACAAAGTAGGTTATTACGATAAACGACCAAATCATTTCAAAACGCCATATAAAATGTGTTTCTCCTTCGACCAGTTAACCATGTGTTCGCATCCAAATTATGACTCTGTGGCCGATGTGCGGTGTGCTCACTGTTTGCACTGTCTTTGTTTCAACTATTCGTTTCTAAAGTTTTTACATATTAATTGCACGCAAAACTAATGAGATTGAGTTTGTCCCATTATCGAGTTTGTTTCATTCCCAGTTCGTCTGACTTCCGATTTGTTTTACTTTTTTCGATTAGTTTCACTTTTGGGCCCGTCCCAAAAGATGCGTGGTCTTGCTTTGATTGGCCGGTACACTTTGAATAATGCTAATGCCGGCACATATTGTAATATTCAATCCTCATAAATCGAAAAGTTCTTAATGAAAAATGCTTTATCATAGTGTTTTGGAAAGCTCTCTAGGTAAGCTACAATAATATGTAATAATATATAGGGTATTCTGTTTAAGAAATTCAAGGTAACTTTTATACGACCTTCAAACAATTATTTAAAGTTAAATCATTAGCGCCATCTTATGTCCCTCTTGAAACCATACAATTTTTCTCCGAAACATTTTTTCATATTTTCCATATTTTTCGAGATATTTGTCTGGGGGTGATTAAAATGAAATACTCTGTATATCAAAACTTTACCGGCTTTTTTCTCGGGTTCCGGGAAAAACCGATGCAAACGGCTTAATAGCAGAACTCTTGGGACCATGCTCTATCGATACATATCAATTTGAAGGCAATCTGAATTTATAAAGATGTGCCGTTTCCTTGTCAGCCCGAGTAGAAATTAAATACGGCAATTTTTTATGCCTGATATGGTATGACTATCATCTTTAAAAGATCCATCTCAAGACCTAATAATGGTAATAATGAGGCATTCTTTTTTAGGGCATCCTATTTTCCGCCTTATCGGAGCAGCCTTATGCTTTATGAGGATGGCCCTAATAATTTCTTGCTCGGATTAGAGATTCTATTTCCTTGAACTAAAACGCGCTTTTCTCTGAACGCGCTGATTCTCTCATTATCGCGTTAATTCAACCAATCCTTTTTGCTTTTATTCGTTTTAGCAATGACGTTATTTCTTTTTCTCGTTGATAACGAAAATGACAATGCAATGGCATTTTTCGGGCAACGGTAATAAACATAACTGTCGCTCCAAGAAGCCTTTAAAAAAATTAATGAGGAAGGTAAGGATGGTTATAATGACTCGTTGCTCCTTGGATAACGATAACGGTAATGAGTTATTTTTCAAAGTATTCAACGGAGTAACGTAAACGATTTACTTTTGAAAGACAACTTTTTCTCTCGATCCTATTAATAATATTAATGATATCGAGACGAGTTATACGCACGCGGTTATCAGCAACAACTGAAGCAGACGTGCGCTCGGGCGCACCGCTTTCGCGAATTCGTGCGTCGAACAGATGATGATAAGCGTGCTTCGTGTTTTACACAAACAGAATAAATATAACCAGGAGGTGAGATACGCAGAATGCAGAAATGATACCGCCCACAGGGTCAGGGATGACGAGATTGATTCTGTGCGTGCGATGCCGATTAATGATGCTCGTGATTTATTGCTTTGCGGTATCGAGCTATTTCTGGAAATGCCAAAATTCGGTCAAAAATATTTTCGATTGATGATCGCGACGATGTTGCGGCAATTTTCGGTGAATTCTTCAGCGACTCGTTCGGAAATTCGGCAATTTCTTCGCCGAATATTTATGCGTTTACACGCAAGAAAAGGAGAAGCAGAAGGAGAAGAAGAAAAAGGAGAGCTCGAGTATATCTCGACGTTGTGATATAAAAGAAAAAGCGAAAACATAAAACTAATTATATTATCCTTGTATTATTTCTCGTAGTCTTCTTAACGATCAAAGCCAGGTCCAGATTGAGTCGCCGAATATCTTTCGATCCGCAGAATTTCCTACACGATTTATCTATGACTCGTTCTTTCGAGAACTACCGTTCCCAGTTATTTCCCAGTTATCAAATCAAATGTCTATCGCGCGACACTTTGTGTAACCGATCTATTTAATAGTCTCGAGAAAGCTGACGAACGAGTCTACGTCGTTCCAACGTAGGCGATTGCCCAACTCATGGAACAGGCAGCCGGTGCGTTTGTATACACGCTCTTCGCCGCCCCTCGAGTTTAATCATTTCGAGCGCTCGTCACGAAATCCACGCTGCATACGTCCAATTTGGACGAGTGTGTTGTAATTTCGAGGAGGAGGAGGAGGAGAAAAAGAGGAGACCTTCCCTCGTCGATACGGTCTCTCTCTCTCTCTCTCTCTCTCTCTCTCTCTCTCTTTGAAATAATACCGCGGGTGAGAGAGCATGCGAGAGAGCGGCCGATGCACGATACAGTTGTATCTAATCTCCCTCGGAGGAGCGTATGTGCAGCGCGAGTATAGCGAGTAAATATTATGGCAAAAGGGAGTACTTTCGGTGTAGTCGGTGTATCGGCTATTGAATGTCGTTTAGTACTCGCTCCCGACCGCCTCTCCTTTTGACCTGCTACCAACGATAAACGCGCACGTCGGACTCACTCACTGTCTGGCGCGAGTGAAGTCGCGAGTAGATAAATCGTGAAGAACGACGAAGCGTTTCATTGTGCATCGACGTCGTCCGTTGACAGTTGACGGGCCTTCTTCTCCTTCTTCTCTTTCTTCTTCTTCTTCTTCTCTTTCGTTAGTGCTGTCGAGAACATCCCGTGAACGTCAGAATACGATGCGCTTCCGCTCGCCGGTGTTCCTGCTTATCGTCTGCATCGTCTCGACAACGGCACGGAGGCTACCAGAGGAGTGCGATCAGGTTCTCGGCGACGGGCTAATCTGGCAATATGACGTCAGGAGGCCGTATCGGAGCGATGGTTATCAAGTGCGTGTTACCAATTACGTTCGAGAAATAGTAATCCCTCCCTCCCTCTCTCGCTTTCTCTCTCTTTCTCTCCCTCTATTTTCCTCCCTCTCTCTCTCTCTCTCTCTCTCTCTCTCTCTCTCTCTCTCTCTCTCTCTCTCTTCCCCCCTTCTCTCTCGCTCTTGATCACTTTTGAGCTCTTGCAACATATACCGATCTATTCTTTATAAGGCAGATTGCTCTAATTCCTTGGTAAATTAACTGATAGTTAAATCATATGTCAGTCTTTGTCTAAATTAAAGGAAAAACAAAGACAAACGTATTAATTTAACAATCAGTTAACTTACCAAGAAATTGGAACTTACCCTTAGTTCTATAGATCCATAGATATAATATATTTTTTTTACCTTCAGTCGTGCATTATTAACCCCCATACATGCTTAACCCTCGTATATGTTTAACCCCCCTGCGCAAGAGTTTCCTGACTTGAACGTTACCAAAATACACGAATTTTTTTAGAAAGTGTTACAAAGTAAACGGTCATTTCTAAGGCTTTTAGGGTCGTAGATTACGAATCTGAAGTTAGAATTTCAAAATTTTAAATAGTGAATCCAATATGGCGGTCACGTGCCCAAAATTCAATAAATTTTTAATTTTCTTGCTACGATTGACCTGAAAACTATTACTCGGGGGTTTTTGAGATCACTGAAAATGGTGGATCTAAAGTCAGATTTTGAGATGACGGGTCCAATATGGCGGCCATATGTACGTTTTCCCGTAAAAATTAGGAGATTCTCGTCTGGTAAACTTGAAAACTACTACTCCAAAGTTTGAGAAATTACTACGAATTTGATTACAAATCTGAACTCAACAATTGAAGATACAAAAAAATGAGAAAAAAACAAAAAATAAAAGGAATATAAAATCTGACTTGGAGTCTCCACGTGGCGCATCCTGAGTACATTTTATCAAACGGAAACTATAGCAAATCCTAGTCCTAGTATGAATGTTAACGCAATTGAATCCGCCATTTTGAATTTTAAAATACTGACCTCAGATTTGTAGTCAGCAACCTCTGAAACCCCCCAGTAAGAATTTCCAGACCGATTTATGTACTTTTAGGGCACTTTTGTAAGGACGAAAAATTGGAAAATTATTACATAAATTTTCTCTTTTTTTTTCAATTTTCAATCCAAGTTTTTATAATAATATGTGCAAAATTCGATACCGCAAGTCGATCTATCTTAAAATGCTAGTCTCAAGCTTTAATTTGCGAGGTCACAGGCCTCTCTAAGTGATTTCGTTCAGGAGTTTTAAAAGAAAATGTTTGGGCGAGTATACTCATCATCGCGCATACGGGAACAACTCGACGAGGGACGAGTATATTCGGAATAATGCGCAGGGGGGTTAAGCGTGAACATTTTTCCTCAAACTTATCTACCAATCGTAGGAGGTCGAAGCGGAGTACGGGCCAACGGATGCGAATATCACCGGCATAAGGATCGACTCATTATCGAAGAGGGACAATGACGCCGCGTGGGTGACGTCTGGTGGGATTGGTCACAACTACGTGAAGCTCAAGTTCCGCTCCAAGAGATCGCGGGGTCTTCACTACAGGGTCTGTCTCTACGGCTTGCGTCTGTCTACTCTGATGCAAGCTCCTGCGTAGCACCTTTGATAAAGACCTCAACAATCTTACCGGATCACCACCTCTCGTACGCGAGCATCTCGTTCTGTCTGTTTCCACCTTTAGATATTTCATCATCTCCTGACATGAACTAAGTTGAAACGAGTCTCAAAACTATTATGTGAAAAGAAAGACGTTTATACATATCTTAATATGTTCTTACTATATTTTTTTACATTATTACAACTTACTATATGTGTGTGTGTGTGTATGTATGTGTGTGCGTGTGGATAATTGGGTTTATTTCTACATGTGATGATCCATAGAATGATGATAGAGATGATCGTAGAAAAAAGAATCCTGTTAAAGTGTTGGAATTTTCTGTTGCTGAGAGTCAGACGATAACTCGATCGTAAGAACAAAAAGATGCTTACAAAAGATTTTTAGTCATTAAACTTGCTCTTATCTCAACAGAGTTTTAATACAACTGAATGTTTTCGGCCACAGTCGCAGAGGTATTGTTCTTCATCATTGAGTTCTCGTCCGGTCATCAACTGACAAGGAATATCCGCGAAGTATGTGTCTCTAATTTCGACGAAACTTGACATATTCGTAGAGTAGCCAAAAATAAGAGACATATCTTTTTATCGGCAATAGTTCAGATCTAAAAGGTAAAACTGTCCCTCAAAGTTTTATTCCTTTTATCTCGATAATTGCTAATTAAAAAATGGGAAAAAACTTTTTAAACAAAAATTGTACAGCATAAAAAACTGTACAATTTTTGCTTGAAAAGTTTTTTCTATCTGCAATAATTATCGAGATAAAAGGGATGAAACTTTGAGAGGCTGTTTCATCCTTTAAACTTAAACTATTACCGATAAAAAAATATACATATGTCTCTTATTTTTGGCGACTCTGTAAATATGCCAAGTTCCGTCAAAATCGCAAATACACACTTCGCGGATATTCCTTGTGAGATCTTTTTCTCATGTACTACAATTTATTGAATTTATATCCTAAACTCCAATGAAGTTTGCGATTGTAACGTTCCATTTTCACCGACGAAGAAGCTTTTAAGCTAGAATTGTAGTAACAGGCGCAATAGTTACGTGGAAAAGAAATCTGTAAGCGCATATAGACATGTTTATGTATGCTCAGCAGAAATGAATGGATTAAATAATAATAATAACGTGCTTTCACGTAAGGTTAATTGAGATAATTATCTGTGTAATAAATTCGAACGAAAGGAAGCAGAGAGAAAGAGTTCATCTATTTAAATAAACTCATAATTTATGTGGTCTCGTTAATTTTTCCCAGTTGACGAAGCGCCAGCGACGCGTCGCACGAATCCTCGCGATCGACGCTGTCGTCCGCGTAATAAATCTGCGGATTTATCGCCCGTCTAATTTAGGACGTTCACCCTTCGCGTGCCCCGATAATACAGACAGAGGAACGGAAACGCCTCGCAACAGGAAACAACGGATCTTCCTCGGAATTCGCCTACGACGAATTCGAAATAACGATATGTTCGACGTGACGATTCGAAGACTCGATTTTGCGCTCGAAGAATAACAAAAAAAAAGAGGGAAAAAACAGGAAGAGGGAAGGTGAGTTTAATTTTCGAATGCGGCTGGACGTAACTGACATCTTATTGGGTTGTTCGGAAAGAAATTTCGATTTTTTTTATATAATTACTTTTATTAATTTTTTATAATTTTTCATATAATTATAATAGATGGTGTTAATTGCCTTTTTAAGCAGTTAACTTCTAAACCAGAAAATCATTTTACATTTTTACAACGCACATTTCAAACTTCATTTGAAGAAAAAGTTGTTGCGGAGTCTGTCAAGTTGTTTTTATTTGGCGTCGGATCAAAAATGAAAAACGTGAGCATTTTCGTCACATTTTGCTTTTTTATTACTGTAAAGGCAAAAATGCAACGTAAGCAAGAAAAAAATTGTGTGCCGTGTGTGAGGAGGATTTGTTGACTGAATGCCAGAATGTCAGAATTGGCTTTCGAAATTTCGTTCTGGAAATTTCGACCTTAAAGATTCCACCATGTTCTGGAAGATCAGTTGAGGCTGATAAAGAGCAAACAAAGGCATTGGTGGACGCAAACCGTCATTTAACAACACGAAAAATTGCTGAGAGATTGAATTTATCGAATTCGACCGTGCATGAGTATTTGAAACAACTTGGTTTCATTTCAAAATTCATTTAAAAAAAAAATATTTGGGTTCCACACGTTCTCAAAGAAAGAGATTTGATTCGTCGCATTACCATCTGCGATTTGCCGTTGAAACGTGAAGAAAACGATCCATTTCTGAAGCAACTCATAATTAGAGATAAAAATGGAATATGTACAACAATATTAAACACAAAAGATTATGGAGCAGACGTGATGAACCAACTCAAAGCACATCGAAAGCTAATATCCATCAAAAGAAGGTGATGCTCTCTGTTTGGTGGGATTCAAAAGGAATGGTTTCTTTGAGCTGCTACCAAACAACCAAACGATTGATTCGAACGTGTATTGTCATCAATTGGACAAACTGGATTCCATCAAGCAGAAGAGACCAGAATTGGCGAACAGAAAAGGTGTTGTGTTTTATCATGACAACGCTAGACCTGACACAAGTTTAATAACTCGCCAGGAGCTGTTAGCGCTTGGATGGAATTTGCTACCGCATCCACCATGTTCACCACCTGATCTGGCATTATCCGATTATCATTTATTTCGGTCACTGCAAAATTCCTTGGATGGTAAAAATTTCGATTCAAAAGATGTGAAAAACCACGTAATTCAGTCCTTTGCCAATAAGGACCAGAAGTTCAACGAGTGGAATCATGTTATTACCTCAAAGATGACAAAAGATGTTAGAACAAAGTGGTCAATACTTAACAGAACAAAACTTTTCTTCCTATTAAAAATATCGTCTTTCAGTTTCATGCAAAAAACCGAAATTACTTTCCAAACAACCCGATATATTCGCTCTCGAATCGGGCCGAATTCTGAAACTAAACTGACGTGACCACGGCGATAAGCTCGCGGAGAACGGATAAAAGCGTCGAATTCCACGTGCAAAGGCGCGGGGACCCTCGAGATTGGAAAAGCATAACATGAGCGGATCACTAGCGGGAGGGAGGGGGCGGAGAGTAGGTACCATCCGCGGATTGCCTCCGCATCGAATACGAATCTGGACGAAAGAAATATATTTTCCCTGCGTGCAGGAAATAATTACGTAGTCGAACATGCGAAGCGATATCCGCTGTTCCTTCGGGCAATTACACGAAAAGAAAGTTTGATCGGCTTTCGGGAGAGCGGGCGAGCGGTTTCCATTCGGAAAGTGGAAGAATTTCCTGTTCGTCACTTTATCGATTACAAGAGGACAATTTCGATGTCGAGATTGACTTCACATTGAACGTGATATCTAGCGGCGAAAAAATATATCAGGGCAACTGTTTCTTATTTCCTTCGCTGTCATTCACTTTCATCTCGTTATTTTCAATGCAGAATCTTGTGCAGTATTCTTCAAATTTCTTGAACTGAACTCTCACTCGAAACGTGCGAAAATTCACTGGAAGCGAATTTTGAATTTCATAATTGTATATAGCTTAACCCTTTAACGCCCGACTTTTTTATAAGTGTCTTAAGAATAAAATTTGAGTTTTTTTGAACTGAGACTATAAGTAGTGATAACCAAAAAAAATATCAGAATTTTATATTGATTTTTTTTATCGTTCGTATTTTGTTTATTGGTAAATATGACTTGGATCCTAAAAGCATATACGAAATAAGCAACCTATACAGAGAAAAGTGAAGGGTAACCTATACGACATAACTGATAGTCAGCTTGACATTTTTGAGCTGAAACTTTGCTATATTTGTGAGTGAAGTTTATTATTCAGAACGTCAAGCTTATTATTTCAGAAGAATATCTTATAGATCATCATTTAGATAGTCAATCATCCCTTAATTTTTCGCCGCATAAAAATTGTAGGTCACCAGGTTTCACGAAAATAGGTTGATTTCTTGATCTTCGTGTCCATCATATTGGATTCGCCATTTTGAATTTCTGTATTCTTTTAATTTCACATTTTGCATCTGAGAAAGCTTCCAAATATATAAAATTATAACAGATACCAATCTTCATTCAAATACCAATTCATTTATAGTGCACTTCTAGATGTCAGTAACAATGTTAACTATGCCTACTTGGAATTTGACAAAACATGTTATTATTAAAACTGAGCTAAAAACAAACTAAACCGAATCTACATACAATCTATATACCATTTTTTAAAAGAAGAATTCACCTTAACAATGGTGCAAAGAAAACGAAAATATCTCCTTTTTTAACTAAGTTATGGATTCTTAAATGCGTTTCTGGTAATCCTAGTTATCAGTAGACGTTAAAGGATTAAGCAGATATACAGCCAGGAGTCGATGTCTGTATCCTAAGCGAGTAAGGGTTGAAACGTATCGGGTTTGATTCATTTCTCTTCTCTCATATTATTTATTGCGCATTCCCGAGTAGAAAAATTAATAGGACTGTGGTAAGGGCCTGATTATTTTTTTCTAACTTTATTATTTTTCTCTTAATTGGGCCCTAGTAGCGATAGAAAGACAAGAGCCCTACAAGATGTGTAACAAATGGTTTGACGGATTCTTATAAGGCAATATTATAACGGCCTTATAAGGCAATATAGGGCCTTATAAGATAATATAGGGCCTTATAAAGAAATATTTTTATTACTGCTTGAGTAAAATTATTCGTTCTTTTCATTCCAAGAAATTTAGACTGTAATTTCTTTATTTCCTTGTAACCTTGTTAGTATACAACAAGAATTTTTTATTTTAAAAATATAGCGTACTTTATAATAAAATATAGCATTCTTTACACATAAAAATCCTGCTACTTACTTTTTATCGAAGTTTGCTACATTTCGAAACGAAGGCAATATTAGAAAAGAATATGGCAATTAATAACACTAATAAAATTTAAATACTTAATTATTAAATAATTATTAAATGCTTAATTTAAATACTTAATTAATAAAACTTGTTTTTAATTGCAATATAATTAAAAAATCTTTAAAAGAACCAGATAGGGCGTACCTACTATAACAATACTAAACTATGACAATTGTATTATATGCTTCAGATCATATTAATTTTCTAAAGCATCCTTAAAGATCCTTTTAAGACTCACAGTTTTCTATTAGGTGTGTGAATTAATTCGGTCCATCTGGCGGTCAATTGCTGTACTATGTAATTTTCTAACCTCTAATGTCTGCAAAAGGCTTTATTTTTTAGTTTTGATATCTGGCAATAATATTCAGTTGATAAACGTTTGGGTTTGTAACAATAACATCGTGTTTATCTGATTCGAAAATGTCGAAATTCGAGCCAAAAAAGCATCATTTCCGGAAGTTCTTATTTTCTGTTTTCATTTGAAGAAAACAGCCGCTGAAACTCATCGAATACTCGTAGAAGCTTATGTAAAATGTAAAAGGTAAAAGTAAGGTAAAAGTGCTCTCACCGATAAATCATGCAGAGAATGGTTTTGACGTTTCAAAAGTGATGATTTCAGTGTCGATGACAAATCTCATCCAGGTCAGCCGAAGAAGTTCGAGGACGAGGAATTACAGGCGCTAATCGATGAAGATCCGTGTCAATTAACATGAGCTCGCGCAATTGTTGAATGTTGATCGATCAACAATTTCTGTACGTTTGGCAGCCATGGGAAAGATTTACAAAGAAGGAAGATGGGTGCCATACGGACTGAAAGAAAGAGACATCGAGAGGCGAAAAGCCATGTCTGAAATCTTGCTTGCCAGGCAAAAAAGAAAAGGTTTTTTGCATCGTATTGTGACTGGAGACGAAAAGTGGATATTTCGGTAATCCCAAACGAAGGAAATCCATTAGCGACCAGGAAAACCATTCACATCGATACCAAAGCGGAATATTCACGGCAAGAAAGTAATGCTCTGTATATGATGGGACCAGAAGGGTGCAGTATATCATGAACTATTAAAACAGAGCCAAACCATCACTGCCAAACTTTACCAACAACAATTGATCCGTTTAAACAACGCATTGAAAAATAAGCGGCCGGACTATGCAAAGAGACACGACAAAATGACCTTCCAGCACGATAACGCTCGGCCACATGTTGGAAAGATTATGAAGGCCGCCTTGGAAGCACTTGGCTGGGACGTTTTATCTCACCTGCCGTATTCACCAG